ATTTACTTTATATTTAAATTGATGTCTTTGTTCTTCGCCAAAACATAGGCAGCAACGGGGGATTCGGCTTTCTGTGCTATTAAAAGGTCTTTGTTCATTCACAACTGGAATCTGGAATTTACAATTAAGTAAAAGCATCAAATCTTCATTATGGCAACAAGGAGCATTTATTTAAAATCAATTCAATTTTCAGCAGCCACAGAAGCCACCAAATTTAAATAATAAAAGAAAACCTTGACACGTGCCTGCCTCCCATTGCTAGTTTTCGCTTAGTATAGTACGCTATGGTTGCTTTTCTTACCCAAATAAAAACTCCACGTCAGAAGGGTGCATCATTTTTAATATCTTATTTATTATATGTAATATTAATATTACTCATACTTAGCAAGAATTAAAAATGTTGTGTCTCATTAATTAATGCAGCTTGAATAATTGGTTAATTGATTTTATGTGGATTCTCTATCAATCATAGCCATTGAGTAGCAGCTTCTGGAAAATAATTAAGCAATCATCCAAGAACATATGAAAACCAATCATATTACTTATTTAATTGTGTTTTACTTCATAAATAAAGAGTGCGTCCTTGGATGGATTTTTAAATAATTCAGATTCAAACACATATAAAAATAGCGCTTAAATTTTGCTAAAAAAAATTAGATTTCAGGTCCATTTAAAATATGAATGAATTTGTCTTCCGGGCTATGCACATTGTAGTTCTTATTATTACATTAAAAGAACATTATAAATGAATGAGAAAGTAGCATGTTTATACATAAATACAGTTATACAGAATAACTACAGTTGGTTGGTATGCTTACAATGTTATAGCTGCCATTTAATTTAATGGCCATTTCTCAAATTATCGAATGAAATATGATTATTTCGTAAAAAATTTGCTAGTTATACTCTGTACATTTAATGTACAAAGTATATATATTCATGACAAGACGAGTCGATCTAGCCCTGCCTATCTGACTGTCCGTCCGTCTGTCCGTCCGTATGAACACCTGGATCTCAGAGACTATAAGAGAGAGACACAAAATTTTACCCAAAGATGCCTTATGTGTTTACGCTATACTAATTTGCTTTATTTTTTTGATTTCCCCCACTTCCCCCCTAGGGTGATTTTCCCGATTTTCCGATCTATATCTCGGAGACTATAAGACCTAGGGATACCAAATTTTATTCCCAGATTCCCTATACTTTCAATTTGTGATTATTAGTCGGTATGCCAAGTTTGATCATGATAATCCGATTTTAAATGAAGGTATAGCCATATATAGGTTCTCTCTGCTCAAGCGCTGCCGCTGCCTTCATTGAACTTTGGGCTGCATACATGCTTACACAGACACGAATAGACACGCATAGACATGCGTACACTCACATAGACACAATTCCTATGTAAATGTGTAATTATGCACCCTCATTTCTACAATTATTCTACACATATGTATAGAGTATTTCAAAGTCGGGACACCCGACTTAAGCTTAAGCTCCATAAACAGGTGCTTATAAAAGAGTTTGAAAGTTTTTATATTTATGTGCACATATTTTAAAACGAAACAATTGTTAAATGTTTAAGAAATGTTTACTTTCTAGACGCGTAGAATATTAATCAATCAAAAATGCTTGAACGGATAATTTAATAATTTAAGGCAGCCCGTCTGCATTGTTATTGAATAACAATATTTAATTATTCAACGAATACATTGCGCAAGGGGTGGTTGCGTAATAAGTTAAGGATGTACCTCATTGTTCTTCGCCTTCGCTTGATTCTGCTCCTCAATGCCAGTTTATGACGCACAGCTAATTAAGTTAAGTTTTCGCATAGGAAAACATTCGCGGCTATGTTGTAAGCATCCAAGTTGCACAATGGGCTTATCTAGCATTAAATTTCGAAAAAGTACTCGTACAAGAGTTTTTTAAAGTTATGCATCGGTATATAACAACTGCTTAGCTATTCTGCTGCCCCTTCTAAATCCAACATTGTCGATGTAAAAGTTTCTCCAACTCATCAATAAAGTTTTGTGTGAATATTTTAAGTGGCTTTAACTGCAATTTGTTCATCATTGCAATGTATACATTTTGTTGTAACCTGCCCTTCTTGTGAGCTGATAAGTTTCACTTAATTTATTTACGATCAAAATTGTTTTTTAATGAATTTATGGCGTGGCAGCAAAATTGCATTGACTAATTGTATAGCACACTAAACCAATAGCATTAAATGACTGCCGTTATTTACGACGAGCAGCAACAAGCAGCCGCTGTCCAACGTATAATGGGGCGTATGAGCAATTTGTATTTCAATAAATTATTATACGTGCGTTATATGTGCCTAATTCTTATACATATATACACGAAATTCGCGTGCAAAATAACGTGGTATCTGGTATATACTGTGTGTGAAGTGTGCGCTTCAAACTAATATAATGAGATAGTTTCATTTCGTTCCTAAATACATCATACTTGTAAACAAATACCTAAATGTTTACGAACTATTTTTATGAGTTCTTCTAATGGGGCGCTAATTTTGCATAAAATAAATTGCACAAGCTTGACTAACTTGCACAACTTGAATAATTTGATATTTCAATCGAAGATATTAGAGGTATTCTTTCCCTGTCAAAATATTCTCCATTAGTAATTTATCTTAAGCTTAATGACTGCAATAAAATAAAATATTGAGATAAAATATTGCTTAAAATTAATTTAAAACTTTTCAGCCACTAGCAAACTAAAAAGGTTTGTGGGTAAGTTGCCGAATTTGTTTCCTCTCGCATTTTATTTGACTTGTTTCATCATTCAAAACATAGAACGGTAATAAAATATTTGCCGGCATTGAAATTGTGAAATCAGGGTTTATGGCTATGTTAGGCGATTCTGTCGAAAAATTGTAAATTTACAATTAAATTATCCTTTTCTTCGCTCATTGCTCATGTACTCAATAGCTTTAAAATTGCAAATATTTCAATATGCGTAAATATACGCTAAGCAAAATTTAACTTATTAAATTAAAGTCCTTGGCGTGCTTTAAGATTATTGCCAAGTGTGTTCATATAAAGAAAACTAACAACATAGATATTTGACAGAAACATAAAAATGTATTTGCATCTTAAGACATTCTTCCATTGAAGGCGTTTTTGTTGTTCTTATTTGGAAAAGTTCCAGGATAATTGCGGAAAAGTTCAATAAAAAACTTTTGTTTCCTGCGAGCTACTTATTATTTGTTGTTACAAAGATATCTCCTCCTTTTAATGCAAAACTGTATGTGCGCGTTGTGGAGTTAAAGCAAATACGATTTACTGGTCATTTTTAAGATATGTATTGTATGTACTTATGTAGGAGAACGTTGGATTCTAAAATATACAAATTGCATTACTTCTGGAGCTTGGATTAGAAGCCTTTAATGTACTTTAAGTTATACACATTTTTCGCGCAGTCTTAGGCATTGGCCACAAACTCGTTTGCACTTAATGCTTTTTGTAGAAAACCATGAGGACGTCTGCTACATTTCGCACGTCAGCAATGCATATCCTCTCACTATATTCCCTACCATTACGCACACACACATGGTTACATGGCTAAATGGCACGTAGCCTGCCATAAAATGTTACTAACACTATCAAATGCCTTCACCAGGCTGTAGCGTGGGTGTTGTAATTGAAATCCCTGCTTTGCTTAGTTCCGCTTTGTTGGCTCTCGACCCATCTAGCCTTCTCACTCATCGACACATTTGCGCTGCTTGCCTGACTCCTTTGCCACATAAAAATATGAAAAGTTCAGTATGCCTTCCCAACCCGGTTGACTACTTGGGGTATTTACTGTTTTCGTAGCTGAGTGCATAAACTAATGGTGGCTGGCTGCATAGTAAATGGGATGAAAGGCTATCAAAATACACAATCCACACCTGCAATGTCTGATCAAATAGCAATGCGTAACAAAACTTTAAAAACTTTAAGCTTTCCACAAACTAAAGGATCTTTGTAAAATGGTTATAGTGTGTATCGATAATAGAATTATTTTATTAGGAGCTGCAGAATAGAAAAATGCTAGCATTGCAATACAGCTATACCTTCCTTTATTTATTAACATCCTAATGTCAAAGTGTAGCATATTTTTAATGGTGTATAAGTTTGTAACGCCCATAAGGAAAACGTGGTAGGCCACATACTATTACAGGTACACCTCCTTCCATGTACACTTCCACAAAACTAATAAGCGTAGCCTTTTGCCTTTTGGGCTGATGTTATACTTGTGAAAGAGGTACATTAGGTTTGTGTATCAGAGAGAAGGCCGCATACATATATTGTTGATCATCATGCCGAGACGAATCGCATGTTAAAGGGTATTTCAGTGTCAGGCTTGCTCGACTGTAGCATTCGTTTTTGTTTATTTTTTCAACGAGGTTCCTCCCTTTTCATGCACCGCTTCGCATACAACCTAAAAAAAATCCTACAAATCCCATCAATAAAACACCCTGCGGTATAAAGTGATTGAATAACTGGTATATTGACTGCACTTTTAAGTCACTGACTAACTTGTGGCTTAACTTTGCTGGAGCATTTTATGGGCTTGAGCTAAGACCAGAAATGCAAAATCTGGAATAACTTTGTATGCAAAATCAATTAAAACTTTTCAGTTACTACGAGGAATTTACGATTTAGCATACTTCACGTATACACTGTTTCAATTCTATAATGCTAACATTGTTTTTTATTAATCTACTTGCAGCAACATGAAACATAATTGAATAACGAAATTACATTCGAGTCAGCGGATTTGCAAATCTGTTGAAAAATCCAACCTGAACAAATTGTGGGCGAAAAATATGATCCGAATTGCACCGAAAGTAAACGAAGTGTGCATAACTTTAATTAACATTCAATAAACAGACGAGATTGGCCAAATCGGGGCACATAGTCGGCCAACAAAACCATTGTTTATACTAAAAATAGGTGATGTCTAATTTAGTAAGTAACTTTGGAAGCACTTTTGTGGATATGGATACGCGCATGGAGCTGACACCATTAAACGTTACACGTGCCCTTTGGGAGTTGGCCTTAACGACCACGGCAAGCACCGCCGGTACATTTCTGCTTGATGGCAACAATGGCAGCACCAGCAATGGGAGTGACAACAATGGTGGTGCCAACCAGAGCATTGATGGCTCCGCCACAGAGACACCATACGTGCCGTATGGGCGACGACCAGAGACCTACATTGTGCCGTTCCTGTTCGCTCTGATCTTTGTGGTGGGCATCCTTGGGAATGGCACATTGATTGTCGTCTTCCTTAGTGTACGTCAGATGCGAAATGTGCCAAACACGTAAGTTTTATGTTGGGCGAAAGTTTTCGCCCATCAAGCACTTTAAAATGTTGCTTAAAATAATTTATTGCCAAGTTAAATTGAATTTCATATTAAGAGATGGTGTCGGCACGCTGCGACAAGTGGGTGTGTGGCAAATTATGCAAAAGCAAATGTCACTGTCCCCTGCCACATAATGAAGTTGCAAGTTTAACGCAAGCACACATTTACAGGCTACCCATATGGCGTCTTTCTTGTCGGCATTTTGCTAGAAAATTGCCTTCATTTACATACACATACAACTATATGAATACACATAGATACATATACACATACATAGGAACAAAAATATTCGTACGTCGGCAGCTGTTGATGTTGCCACAAAATACCAAATATTTTCAGTAGGAATTAGTAATTAGACTGTTTGTTTCGTATAAGCAGCCAGTCATAAATCAAAATATTGTAATTTGGCTGTAGTAAATTGCAGGACTGTCATTTTGTACATAAAATATAAATGAAAAGTGTTTTGCATAAAAATGTGTACTTAAATAAAAGTTACACTCAAATAGTTATACTCTGTACATGAAATATGCAAGAGTATATTAGGTTTGCGGGAGGTGAAAAATGTAACAGACAGGCAAAGTATATATATTCTTGACCAGCACGACAAGACGAGTAGATCTATGTCTGTCTGTCTGTCTGTCCGTATGAACACCTAGATCTCAGAGACTATAAGAGCTAGAGACACCAAATGTTGCACAAAGATGCGGTTTGTGTGTACGCTGTGCAAGTTTATTATTTAATATTATTATTATTTTTTGTTGTTGTTGTTTTGTCGGGTGGGTATTTAAGAGTTGAGCCCTCTCCGAAGCCGAAGATAAATAAAAAAAGCATAAAAGCCGATGGATACAAATCCAGCTCTAAAGCTATAAATTCTTTTTCAATAAAGTAAAGTGTATGAAAATGTTGATTCCATTGCTAAGTAGTTATAAATATTTCCGTATACATCCATCCATGCTCTTTATTGCTTCATTTTCCGGCATATTTAAGAATGTAAACGTTTTGCTCACCTTTACAACAGAGAGTAGATGTTGGGGGCTGTCAGTTGAGGAGTCTTCAGTAAGCATTCACAATTAATATATTAAAACATTACCAGCTTGTTTTACGACAGCAGCATTTGTGCACTTAGGAGTAATAGGCGGTGTTACAACACAAAAGGCAATTTTTATGTCACGCCAATCAACTGTGGCCATATGCTACTTGTATGTGCAAAAGCAGAACACAAATTGAAAATACAAGTATATTGAACAGAGACCTTGTCTCGTCAACTTACGCACGTTTAGGTAGCAGTCGCTGGCTGCGCCGGAGATGAAAGTAAATAATGCCAGGTGACCCACGAACTAAACTAGACTTGTTTGTTTTCAGGCTGAATGAACTTAAATTAGGCGTCTAAACAAAGACCGTATTTATTTCGTTCGGCATAAGAATCTTCTATTTCATTTGGCTTGAATATAACTCGATTTCGATTCATTTGGAAGCCACAGACAACATGCTCTTTGACGGAAGTAATCGAATTGAAGCTCCAGTAAGTGGAGGGAAATGTAAGCGAATACCAATATGTTTTCAATTGGGGACGCTGGGTGAAGAAAATTCACAACTTTCGCATTGGCCCTGTTTTATTGATTTACTGCAATTGATAATGTTCTGCCAATTTACACAAAAATAATAAAACACTACAAAAGCGGTGGAAAACAAAATCAAAGAGATCTTAGTGGCTTGTTGAGGAGTGTTAGGATTCAATTCGAGTTAAACTTAAAGTTGTGAAGCCGGTAGTAAATCTATATTGAATACTGCTATTGAATAATTTTTTGAATTTTTGATTTTTTTCAACGAAGTGAAATGCTGAATGTATTAATTATGTGTAATAACGGCTAGCATTTTTAACAGCGAGTCTGTCGCCGAACTTTCAAATCTTTCTAAATTTTTCCCTTCTTCTTCTGCGGGATCAGACATCAAGCTGCATGTGTTTTTAATAGGCAGTGCCTTCTTATACTCGTATCAGAGCAAACATGCTACTACCCTTTTACTCCAATGTATCGTACATATGTTGTTATAAGAGAAAAAATGCATTGCATTCGTTCATGCAATTTTAAACTCGAACGGATTTAATTACAGAAAATATTTCTACAACATTTCTGTAATCAGCCATATTTGATGAGGACTTAAATTATCATCTTCATTTATAAGTCTAAAGTCAGCCGCAGCTTGCCACATCAGCGGACAGCATCAAGTTGTCATCCAACCAAGACGAGTGCCTCGTTTTGTACTTAAGCTCTTGTGTTTTTCTTTTATTGGATGCTTGTGCTGTCAACAAATTGCACATTTATAAAATTAAAGTTGTTGCCCTTTTGTTCTTACTGTGGAATAAAAGTCTATGCTATTTCGGTGCTGCTTGTACAAATTTTAAAGTTGGCCCGATTCGGGAATATTTTATTGAAATTTTAATCAAATAAAATAAGTTAATCGTTCGTTCGTTGAAATCTTTAAAGCTGTAGTTCTTCTCTCTGCGCCTGGGCTCGATTTTGGGCGCAATGACTGTATTTAGTAATTTAATTGGAATGGAGCGTTCATGTAGCAAAAACATTGTATTTTGTATTTAAAAAATTATGATTTCTTTACCGTAATATTTTTATAAATAAATAATTTATGATTGCTATACGCGAAAGTTTATTAAAACGTTGTAACATCTGTACTTGCATCGGAATATGCAACATACTATACATACTATATGACAAAATGGAGGAAATGCAACGCGACTTTTTCGTTGCTTTACGCGTATCATTCCCCTTGCCGCAATTTTATGCATTTACGTGCTTCTCTGAATAGTTGATAGAGCACAACGCAGAGCCCTGATTACCACACAGTACCTTGCGGCATTTGTTGCCATTCGTTTGTGGCGCCCCTGTTCACGTATGCCAACTAAAAGTCGCACATTTCAGCGAACCGGAAATGTCAACTGATCAAATTACGTTGAAATTGCATTTCATGGTAGCACATTTGGCAGATGCGGGCAGCGTCCAAGGCACTTAAATGCAAGTCAAGCTGGGCACGGACCAGAACGAGCATCAGATCCAGACCTATACCCCCGGACGAAGATACTTATCATTTGGATTCTGGCTGACTAGGTGGTGGCTCTCTAGCTGTGCTGTGCTGTTGTTGTTGCAGAAAGAAAAATGTAATTTGGTGTTGCATTTCCACCAGCAGGCAGCAGCAAACAAACTGCCACATGAACCTTATTTATTATAGCATGCGGCGTTATGTATATAGTTGAAATGATATGGCCAACCAAGGAAAATTACTAGTGTACTGTATCTGATGTTTAGGTTAGTTTTGTTGCTGCTGGTGCTCGTCTCTGCAATTACTTTTTAATGAAATGCCATGCGGGTGTTAGTGTTAAAATGTATATACTATATGCATTTAATGCGACCTTATATAGCAAAATCATTATCTTTTATCAACTAGGCATTGTTGACAAATTGCATTGGAAGCCAAGTAAGGCGTACTCTTATATTTGGGCCACATAAATCGTTCAACAGGCAGGCAAACACTTCTGAACATGAAGGGCAACCACAGTGGTTAAGAACGCGTATTTATCTTAATAGCAAGCACATAAATCTCTTACACTTCACAGCGCGTACATTTTGGCCGTAGACAAGGCTCTAAAGGTTTATCGTTCATGAATACACATTCCTAATAGTAGCATTAAACTTTAAGCAAATTTTGTGGTCGCACAGGCACAAATTCAAATATATTTATAAAAAGGGCATTCTGCATTAATAATACTAAACGGCAAAATAGCTTTCGTTTTCTAAAATTAATAGTAATAATCGTACAAATTTCAGTTTCCATTTATAGTATAGTTTTTTAGACTATTAAAATAGCTTAGTTCCAGTTCTTAGCCTGCAAAGAGAGCAAATGAAAGCAGACTTTTTTAAATTAACAGTTGAATTAAATAAATAACCTAAGGTCTTTCTTATTAATTTCTTATTATTGCTTCCCCACAGCTACATATTATCGCTCGCTATAGCCGACATACTCGTCATACTGACCACTGTGCCACTCGTCTCTACTGTCTATACGGTGGACTCTTGGCCCTGGGGTAGTTTTCTTTGCAGCCTTTCGGAGTTTATGAAAGATGTGTCCATAGGGGTGTCGGTGTTTACTTTGACGGCGCTGTCGGGTGATCGTTACTTTGCCATTGTGGATCCATTGCGCAAATTTCACGCACATGGTGAGCAGCTTCAAGCCAATTCAATTTATTTCCTATACCTATGTTCATATATATTTAATACGCCGTTCACTCAGGGGGCGGTAAACGAGCCACACGCCAGACGCTTGCCATTGCATTGTCTATATGGTTGCTGGCCATTGTTTGTGGACTGCCAGCGTTGATTGGCAGCAATGTAAAGGTAAGGTTTATTGATTTAGCTAGTCCAGGAGCAATTGAGCCTGCATTGATTTCTTTACTTAACGTATTTGATTTGTCAATAGGAATTGCACATTAACAGTAACAAATCGTTTGAGATGTGTTATCCATATCCAGCGGCATGGGGTTTCCATTATGCCAAAACAATGGTGTTAATGCACTTTCTGGTCTACTATGCCATTCCATTGGTAATAATAGCTGCTTTTTATGTCCTGATTGCCTTGCATTTGATGTACTCAGCGAATGTTCCCGGAGAGATGCAGGGCGCGGTAAGACAGGTGAGTAGAGTTGAATTCTAAAATAGACTTACCTACAACTTCGTACAAAGATAATATAATGACACAATGATAACTTGTTAAGTATAAGATTATAGAATTAATATTTTGTACTTCAATTATTTATATGAATTAATATAAAAATTATGATTTAGAATTGGGGCAAATACTCTGACCCTGAACATACTTATATTAGTTTGATTTTTTTCATTTTTTAATTTTAATTTTAAAAATAAGCCATTAAACTTTTCCCTTGTTTTAATCAAAATTGATTTATCAATTATTTAAATAAAGTTCTTTAAAACAAAAAGGAGAAGTCATATTCTTAGTGAAATATCTTAGCTGTATTTTATCTGTTTGTGGAATGCGGGTTTGACATTTCATAATTCTAAGAACTGTTGGAGGGCTAGTTTAAAGGTTCGGGTTTTAAATTATTAGAAACCGTTTTTACAAACTCGTTGGCGAACTTTCTCAACTACCCAATTTCTTTTAAATAACGTTAGCTAATATGCATTTCTGTGTGTACATCCATGATTTAAACAACGTTAGAAAACGATCCACCCAAATGTTTATAATTCTTAAAACGAGAAAGTTTTACCAGGCAACTTAAAAATGCATTGCGTTTAACCAACATAAATTTAATAACTTTTACCGGGTATTGAAATTTTCTCACTAAAAACGACCGCATCATTAAGTATGCACGTAGATTTTTGTGCTACCGCGACTGATTCAACATAAAAAATAAAATAAAATCCCTCTTCACTCATCATTTTTTCCTCCTCTTTTGTGTTTTTTGCGCTCCGAAACTTTTGCCTAACTAAATTGGTGTTGTTGTTGTTTCAGGTTCGTGCCCGTCGGAAAGTAGCTATGACTGTGCTGGCGTTCGTTGTCATCTTTGGTATTTGTTTTCTACCATATCACGTCTTCTTTCTCTGGTTCTACTACTGGTAAGTGTTTCCCGTTTAAAGAGAGAGCGGCAGTTCGAGAGTGAAAGCCGACAAACGGATGTAACTTGTAGTATATAAAGAGGAAAAGAGTGGAGGCAGACACAAGGATTTGTGCACACTTGTGGTTGAGTTTGGCTGAGTGTGCTGGCCTTTGGCGACATACTATGTATATGTATGGTATAGTCATGGACGAGGCAACGCGGTACTTGTTTCCACACAAGCTCGAAAGTCAATTTGTCAATTCGACAAAAGGCACGCGCTCTCGAACACACACACACACACATCCATACACAAATATACATATATATTCATGAATTGGTTGAACCGTGCGTATGAGTAATGCGACAGTTTTCTCGACATTTTCTACGCTCGGTTCATCAATTTCTCGTAGTTTACTCATTGTTGGTTTATGTCTTCATATTTTTATCATCTATTATTTTGTTTTTATTGTACTTTCAGGCCCACAGCTCAGGATGATTATAATTTGTTTTGGCATGTGCTACGCATTCTGGGTTTCTGTTTGTCCTTTGCCAACAGCTGCGCAAATCCTGTGGCATTGTACTTTGTGAGCGGCGCATTCCGCAAGCATTTCAATAGGTATTTGTTCATACACTACAACTACAATGCAGCAGCATAGCAGCATGCTAACTTTGAGAAACTTTAAGCAAATGTAAATGTAAATTGTTATGTACATTTTTATCTCTAACTTTTAAACAAACTAACAACAACAATCCTAGAAGATTCGAACGTTGACACAAACAAAGGGCAGTGTGCATGACATTTAAAAATACGTGTACATATCCTTGATATGAAACCAACCAACAATCAAGCGAATAGAATGTGATGTTTGTCGGAATACAAATAATTCTTTTAACAATGCACAAATACTCAAACTCCTTCAAAGGAGAAGAGGCACTTGTGATTGCTGTTGATTTATATTAAGTTACTCCCTACAATAAATAAATGTGTATCGTCTTGCCAGAGAATTTTAAGCTATTTATGGGCCATTGAATTGATCGAATTACTTAGCCAGAACTCAAATACTAAAATAACCCCGACATAAATGATTGAGATGATAATAGGGAACCAATGGGTTTTTGATTCTCTTAAAACAAATAGTAGCCTAAATGCTTGAACTAATTATATCAATTATCTGATTACGACACCGAAGGGATAATCTATTTAAAGAGACAGCCTGGATACATGTTAATAGTGCCAAACTAACCCGATTTGGTGATTCGGGAACTACCTTTTTCTACAGATCAAAGAACACGACATAGAGATATAAAATTTAACATTTCTAATTAACAGTAAAAAAGCTAAAAATATAGTATATGAAACATAAGTGTCCCGAATATTATGGCGAATTAGTGATTAAAAATGCACGTAGGCACTTTAAAAAATGTATATTTAATTTAAGTTATTTATAAAAGATTTAAATACAACCTTGTCTTGCTATCTGTACAGATATCTTTTTTGTCGGGGCGTGAATGGTCGTCGCAAGAAACGCAACGACACCTTCTGCATGCATCGAGACACCTCCCTGACCAGTACCGCATCGAAACGTTATCAGTCGCGTCACTCCTGCTACCAGAGCACAATGCGAAGGTGAGTAAGAGCCACAGGTGAATTCAGGTCCTGAAGTACATGGTGTGAGTTTTTCATTACACAGCTGTCGCCTGCAAGAAACGACAACCATCACAGTCCTCCCAAACGGCAGTCAGAGCCACAATGGTCAGCACATGGCTGGAATGGCGGGGATGTCAATGTTGGCTCATAATGAGAACGGCTATGAATTTGCGCTTATGAACGAGTTCGGGGCCAAGCCGCAATCCCTGTCGCTGCCGCCACAAAGGCAGCAGGAGTCGCTGATGAATTGAAGCACCTGTTTAAAGGAACGGAGATTACAGGAAGTTCGAGGCTGCTTTGCGTCGCGTTGGGCAACGTCTACCCTAAACGGTAAACAGAGAAAATGGTTAACTGAAAAAGCTGTTTGCAGCCTTGAATATGTAAACAGAAACGAAGATACATTTCTTGTTGATTACCTTAGTTGGCTTCTTGTTTATTTATTTTGTACATATATTTAACTATGACCCTTATTTTTATATCAGCATAAATGTGTCAGTTCCATACACTTATTAAATTAAGCCTAAAGCTGCCAAATTGTTGGCATAAATATTAAACAAACTGCACTGTGTTTATGGCTGGCAGCAAAGTGCTAGTCATTTTTTATTGTTGCTGACACGCAGCTAAGAAAACTAGTATGTATTTTGAATGTAAGATAAAACTCTGTAAATATGAATATTTTTGTGTGTAAATTTTAAACTTTGTCTAAATAAATAAATGTTACAGATCGAGTACTTTGTTTTAATTAGTTAAACATATGGAGTGGGAGAGATGTCAAGTGCAGTGCTAATAGTAAATTATGTTGCCTGCTTTTAGGCTGCCGTCGAAATATTAGGCCACTGGGGGCCGTTGGAGAAACATATTTAAGTTTTGCCAATACCGTGGGTAATTTGTTATTATGTAAAAGAGTTGCCAAGTGCAGTGTCAATAGCGAATATTAAACCACTTGGGGCCGTCAGAGAAACATATTTAAGTTTTGTAAATGCCGATGGTAATTTGATGATGATAAATTATTATTAAAGCTTTATAAACTGGTTGTTAATCTGCCAGTCAAAGTATATCTTCTATTCTGTTAAATATTGTATTTTTATTACGTGAGTACAGTACAGTATTTATAAAAAAGCCGATGCAAAAATGGGTTATTAGCGTCAAAAACTCTAGAGAAAACTTTGCAATTTATAGGGCAATCTTAGCAAATAATTTGCTTTGCCTTAACCAGAAACTTAATCCATATAAAAGCACACACTACAGCACACACACAAACTCAAAGAGCGACCATGATGCTGATGCCTTGCCCGATAAGACTGAAGAGATTAATTGGCTTGCTGGCTTCTAGTCGAAAAGGTGTTTTGTTCAAACAAGTTGGCGGGCGTCAATTAGGGGTTGGGTTAAGTTTTGCAAGCAAATTGTTTAAATTTATATCTATTTTTGTTTTGATTCAATTTCCTGTGCTCACAATATGACGTCACTGCTGAACGGTCAAATAACTGTCACAAATGTGCGGCACTCAATCAGCTTAAATCAGTTGCACATTTAGCCCATTTATTTAAGTATTTGAGCCGACGACGTCATCTGAAATTAAATTACTGCTGCTTAGACGCGTTTCCAGCATACCAAATGCTTATGGAAATATTGAGCTGTCAACGACGTGCGGCGGATTTTGTTTGTTACTTTGCCGTCTGTGGTTCTGTTGTTATTTTCTGCTGTCTTCTGCTCTCATCATCACCACCGACAATAACAACAACAGCAACAAAACCAACAGCGAATTATAGCCACAAGGAGTAGCTACAGCAACACTTTTGTGACAGTTGTAAGCTTTGGCTTTTCAGAAGGTTTGTTTTTGTCGACTGTTTCGTTTTATACCCTATTTTGTACCTAGAAGGCTGAAGGGCATTTGTGATCAAATTGTGTGATATGTTCTTATATGTACTACTTACGTGTTAGTGTGGGAACTGCTTTCAGGTCCACAGGTTGTAGGTTTCTTAAGATTCACATTGCTATCCTCAATCGAGATCAATTAGGTTGACAAAATGACTGACTTTTAAAAATTTGAGATTAGTAAGATGTTTTCATACAAAAAACATATCTCACGCTTGACAAATTGTTTAAAATACAAGTAAATGTATATATCACAAAATTTGAAAATTAGTCTATACAATGTACTTGTATTTCTCGAACAAGTGTTAACAAATCAATATAGAAACTTAAGTATACACCCTTCAAATCTTTTGTTTGTTGAATGTTTAGAATTCTCGGGAATGCATTTCGTGGGTGTGAAAGCTATATTTAGTCATTGCAGCCCTTGCTCCCAGTTGTCGTATGCCCTTGTGCTCGAGCAAAATTGCGTTCGCTAATGATATAAAAAGGAATTCTCATTAAAAGCAACCCTATTCTGTCAGCATTGCAGACTTGCGGTGGCTTTTCTCGCTAAATTGATTTGTGGTTTTGTTGACTCTGCTGTCCAAAGCAATTATATGCCTCTTTAACATAAGGTCAACTTATTACAACTTGCTAAAACCGTAAAACATTTTTCAAATTAAATTTCAAGTGCTAATTTTCTTAACAGGCTATTTCTGTCCTTATAATATTATTGATTTAAGACATAAGTGATTTTTGCAAGAGTATTCTTTATTTAATAAATTTTACAAGTAGTGGAGTTAGCTAATTTGTTGCATTGGCTACGTCTGGTTGGTGTGGTTGCTATTACCATCATCATAATAGATTTTCCAGATCAACATTGTTTGTTGATTGTTTTTGCCATAAAAATATACTTTAAAATAAATTAAAAACATCCTCCACTTATTTCTATAAACAGCTATAGTGCATGCCATAGTTGATGAGACCTTCATTTGTTTGTCTTAGTCGACCGCAGCTTGCCACATCACCGAACAGGCGGCACATCCAGCGAGCAGCATCAAGTTGTCATCAAGCCAAGCCGAGTACCTAATTTTGTCCGTTAACTCTTGTGTTTTTTATTAGCAGACACTCGTGCTGTCACCAAATTGCACATTTCTGAAATTTTACTTGTTTTCCTTTCATTCCTTCTTTGGCTTTTCATTTTAAGATATTTCGGAGCTGTTAATTTCCACAAACAAATTATAAAGTCGCGTCCATTGTGCTAAATTGAAATTGTATACAAAGAAAAGTGAAAGGCTTATAAATAGCTGTTGAATAGATTAAAAATCATTCATGAAAAAAAACCTTTAAAAAAAGCAAAAATATATATAAAGCGAATTTTAATACGAAATGTGAAAGGAAAACAAAAAACATTAAAGAAGACTAACATTCAATTTAATGAAAAATTCATGAAATAAAAAGAATCACACATATATTTCCGTAAAAATAAAATAAAGCTCAATTATTTAATTTCCTTCAGAATATTGACAATTTTGAGACATCAGCAGCGTTTTTGGGCCACTTGAACACAACAACAGCTAAGCAGAGCTCTATTTATATCTTTTATTTGGCCTGCCTAGTAGACTAGCAGAAGCTAAGACCGGAACCATTTTGTTTTGTTTTAATTTCCCTCACCTTGTTAACAATGATTTTTCATCACAATTCGGAGCGTAGCATACTGCCATTTAAAGACTGCACGTTTTAGCCAAATTGAAAAGGTAACTCTGATGTGTGTTTGGCAATGTATGTGTGTGTGTGCGTGTGTGTTTTTCGTGGGTGTTTGAGTTAAGTGCCATATGTAAACAGAGTCGGCTGCTCTTTCTTGCCAGATAATGCGTTTAGTTATTCATTTCTTATTTAAATGGCCATTAATATTCATTTAGCGCATCGTGGCAAGTGCCTTGACACTTAAAAGCCGCAACAACAACAATAACAATAATAGCAGGAACACTAACAGCAGAACAATGAAGATGGAGAGGGAAAAGGAAAAAGGGCAGTAGCATGAACAATAATGAAAGTAACATAAACAAACAAACAAAGAACAGGCGACAAAATGCAATAATAATAATGGCGACATATGAAGCATATGTGTGAGAATATGTGCGGGTGCTTCTATGTGTGTGTGGGTGTGTGTGTGTGTGCTTATGAATGCCTAGAAAATAAATAAAACGATTTAAGGCGCGAATACGCTCGTAGAAGTGCACAAGGTAAGGTGCCAGGAGTTGTGAAAAGTGCGAAGTGGGACATGGTCGCTAATCGTAAATCGCACACATAGACACATACTACATTCTCGCTTATGTGTGTATAAAAGTACATATTAAGGGCATAAAAATTGGCACTCAATAAATAAGCATGAGGGCACTTTTGGGCCATCAACCGAGATGCGCCCACCCACTTACACGCACGATTACACACCCACACACCCACACAAACACACACACTCGCACTCACACTCACTCATCCAGACACACATGCAGCCTGTGAGTCAGACATTCAGAGCAATGCACACATAGGCCAGTGTTTGTCGCGATGTCGTCCCGACGTTTTCTCGTCCTTTGCCTATGGAGTCGTCGGCTTCGGCGCCAGAACTGAACGCTGTATCCAAGACAGTGGCTTTTGCCTCCAAGTGACAGCTGCACAGGCATTTTAATAAATCCTAATAAAATTCTATTACACATACTCGTATGTATCCACACGTACGTGGGCCTGACCGTAAGTATGTACGAGCGTGTACTCGTATGTGCAATCAAATGTTTATAATTTGGGAGGCACTGTGGCGTGGTCGCATCAAAGATTCATTCATAGTGGATCGAATATTTTATGCATTGACAGCCTCAATAAACCAATCGAGAATTTACAATATTTACCTATGTTGGTGCACAAAATGTTACAAGTATATACATACTATATTAAATGGAGCCCCATATAACTGTTGCTGCTTGGTTAGATATGTACCTTAATACTTCGTAAAGAATTATTTTCTACTGGATACATGTTTTGTAATGAAATATAATGGTTTATTTCAGTTGTTTTATATTTTCTAGCTTTAATTTGAATTAAGTCCCGCAATATATTGTATTCATTTTATTATATTAAATTGAAATATTTAATATTCTATTGATAATAAAGGCTCCATGCCTAATACTTGTATATACATTACCTTTGTCAGGCAGAGACATGCCTGCTAAAACCTGATATTAATCGACCCATTTTATGCCATTGCTTGCATTTAAGTGGACTGTATTAATATAGTCTTGTATGGGGCAGTTAATTGATTGAATCTTAATACAAGAAATTTGATACTAAATCAAGCAAATGTTTCGTCTCAGCCAAGAAAGCTGTTAGAATATTGAGTTAC